ATGCTATTTTTATCACATTATAAGATTTCAGTGTTTTTATGTAATTATTATCCATATACTCATCTTTACCATTAAAGCTTCACTAGAACTTGCTTTTGATATCAACTTCCAAACTTGACATAGTACTAAGAAGTTGCTATTATCTAATTTTCTTTTTTTTTGTATAACTGCTAAATTTTTGTATATTTTCTAAACAACTGAATCAAAATAGATCTGTTTGGCCAGGTCACTGGCCTAGTAATAGCTAGTGACGTCCAATATAATATAAATGTATGTATTTAACACCTCACTACTGAAAGGGTGACCAGTACCACTGCCAGTATCTGGGAGCTTGTTAAGAAAAGTGGACTCTCAGGCTCCACTCTATAAACTACTCAATCAGAATCTGTGTTTTAACTAGATCCCCAAGCAATTCACAAACACATTAAAGTTGGAGAACTAGTCTAGTATTTCACCAGAGCCTGCTTCTCTCTCATGTCTCCACTCCCTGCTCCCACTTTCAGAAGTACCCATGACATTTTCCTTTCAGATACCTTAGAATCTGAGTATGATGAAAGTTACCTTTCCTATCCCTCTGCCATCCTCATGGGTCTGTCCCAGAGGGTCTCCTCCAAGTCTCTGCTCCTCAAAAAGGGAAAAGCCTCAAAAAGTACAGGCTCTAGAGCCATGCTAGTTGGGTTCATTTAAACTCTGACTCTACTCATTACTATAGATGGGACCTTGGGCCAGCACACTGCGACACTGTGCCTCAGTTTTAGGTGTAATAGGAATAGTATTGTCATGCATGTTAGCTATTATCCTCTGAAATCAAGGCCTTAACAGCTGAGTATTTAGGAATTTCTCCTCGTCTTCTGCTGATGGTGCTTCTATCACAAGATGGTTTATTCATTTGGACTTCTGCTACTGAATCAACTAGTTCCACCTTCATCTGGGGATGATTTCATAAAACTTCCTGAATCAACAGAGTCCCCAGGCTTTTTGGACTTGGAGTCCACCTGGTAAACATACGTGAATGAATCTCCTGTTAGAAGCTTTAAGAATGAGGCAGCCATCTTCTTCAAGGTTCAACAATATTCTGAGGAAAGTGAGCACAGGGAACAATCCGGGAAGGAGACAGTTGAAGGAGAAAGCCAGAAGAATTTCAGCACTGGTGGGAGGAAAGGGGGAAATGGGGACATATATTGTCTAGTGGAGAGTTGTCTGGTAACTTAATTTTCCCAACAGAACATGATGTTCGCTGTAGGTTTTCCACAGATGCACTTTATCAAATTAAGTTTTCTTCTATTCCTAGTTTCCTCAGAGTTTTAAGTCATGAATCAGAGTTGAATCCTGTCAAATGTCTGTCTGCATGTATTGAAGTGATCATGAGGGATTTCCTTTATTTTATTATGGTAGATTATAGTAACTGACTCTTCTAATTTTAAAACGACCCTGCATTCTGAGATAAACTCGACTTGGTCATAAGGTATTATGTTCTTTATATACTGCTGGATTCAACTAGCTAATAGTTCAATAATTTCTGTATCTATGTTCATGATGTATATTGGTATGGCCACTTTCTTTCCTTGAAATGTCTTTGGCTCGTTTCGCTATTGGGGTAATACTTGTTTTCATTTTTTTAAAAAAATAGGGTAAGTATTCCATTTGCCCCTATTTTCTGAAAATCTGTGTAGAATTAAAGCTTTTTACTCCTTAAATGTTTGCTAGAATTCACCAATAAAGCAAAGTGGACCTGGAGTTCTTTTGTATGAAAATTCCTGATAATTTCTTTAATATTAAAACTATTCACACTTTCTGTCTTGTATCAGTTCTAGTAAGCTGTATTTTTCAAGAAATTTGGTGACTTTAATTTATTGGTTTAAATTTGTACATAATATTCCTTATTGTCCTTTTAACATCTGAAAGATCTAAATAACATTCTTGATTTCATTCCTGATAGGGATAATCTGTCTTTTAGGTTTTTCCATCACTTTGCTAGAGGTTTAATTTTATTAATATTCTCAAAGACCAACTTTTGGCTTTGTTAACTGTATTACCCTGTTTTCAATATCACTGATTTTTGCTCTTGCTTTTAATATTTCTTTCTTCTACTTACTTTGAATTTTATTGCTCATTTTTTCCCCCTCTAGTCTGCTCTTTTAAATATATAAATATTTAAAGCTATAAAAGTAAGGAAGCAAGTACAATTTTACTGATTTGGCCTTTTGTTAGCTTATTTCTCTGGATTATTAAATCTTGAAAAAAATTTCTAAAATTTTTATAGGTAAATATTTTCAGGATAATCAGTAAATTCTACCATGGAGAGAGTATGCACGTAAACATAAAAAATGATTATAAGAATATACAAAGCCTAGTTAGCATTCCTGTTACATAACCCCTGGTTTTTCATTCCATTCCAAGCTGGATATGTGTTTATTCTAAAGATGCTTGAATTTTAAGAACTCTCAGTTCCTGTTTTGGATGCTATGTTGTAATTACCAATGACTCATTCACCAAGTTTTTGGATATAAATGAAGGTGAGGTATGACTTCAGTTCATTTTAATGCTTTGACTACACTAACTGCATCACTGGTACACTGTAAAGATTAAATTTTCCTGTTATGAAGTTATCTACATTTATGTAATAAGTCGTCTTTAGTTATTGCTCATACAAGCTTTACATATATATATATATATATATATATATATATATATATATACATTAAGCTTTTTATATTCATCTTTGGAGATCTATCTCCCTTTTAAATAATTCATTTTTGAGTTCTAGTTTTTAAATACTGAAAAGGGTAAATGCATACAGGTGGCGCAGTGGTCAAGAAATCTGCCTGCCAGTGCAGGAGATGTGGGTTCAATCCCTGGGTCAGGAAGACCCCCTGGAGAAGGAAATGGCAACCCACTCCAGTATTCTTGCCTGGGAAATCCCACAGACAGAGCCTGGTGGGCTATAGTCCATGGGGTCATAAAGAGTTAGACATGACTGAGTGAGCACACACGCACACACAATAGTACCAAAAATGATTTTCACCATAAAATTCCTTTAAGAGTTCTCTTTAAAGGAATTATTGTACTATCAAGTGAAACTTTTTCAAACTCAATCCGTGAAGATATTCCTTCTTAAATATACATACAACCAAATGAATTTCTGTATATTTCAGAGATAATAAAATATTTTTGCTAATTTATCTCAAAACATAGGTATTAGTGACCTTCTCTAATTAGGTCAGGTAGTAGGGAAAAAACCCAATGCTTTTTTTTGGTTGTGCTGGGTCTCAGTGTTGCTTGGACTTTCTCCTGTTGCAGTGAGCAGGCTTCTCATCGCAGTGGCTTCTCTTGTTGTGGAGCAAGGCTCTAGTGCATGGGCTTTAGCGGCTGCACACAGGAGCTCATGAGTGGTGGCTCACAGGTCCAGAGCGTGGGGGCTCAGTAGTTGTGGCTCATGGACTTAGTTGCCCAAGCTATGTGGAATCTTCCCGGACCAAGGATCAAATCTGTGTCCCCTGCATTGGCAGGCAGATTCTTATCCACTGTACCACCAGGGAAGTCCTCTGATAAATTTTCTATTTAGCATAAGGTTAGGTTGGAAGAAAAGGCTTTTGATTTTAAAGGCCAAATGGAAAGCTATTTTATTTTGTGAGCCAAGAGAGGATACACTTCAGTGGGACGAAAACTGTACCTATCAAGATGACTTTTGCTCCTGACAATTTGACCTTTTTTTAAAAAAAGGTAAACATTTAAAAATCATATATCATTTCAGCATCTTATTTTTAAGAAATCCAACATTTTGGCATAAGACAAATTTATACAATTAAACTCTTCAAAACATAATATGGCATATATTATTTTTCCACAGGGCATCAGATACTAACAGATATAGACCACTTTGTTAAATAACAAAAATCATATGAAAATCAACACAGTATTTCATTTATTTACTGTATAAGTCTGGCAAACAGCACAAAAATTCAGCAACATTTCAAACATGTAAAAAAGTCAAATGTTGAACAGTACTGAAAAATTTTTTTTTACATAATTAGTAATAATGAGTATACATGTAGAGTTCTGCAAAGCTAGCAAATTCCAAGGGTGCTTGGCTTCTGAACATATACCACAAAAACACATACACAAAAGCAATATAATTTATCTTTATAAAAATTATAGCCAAGCAATAAAAAAGGATGATAATAATGAAGATAATAATACATATGTTCACTACATATATCTTATACATTGAAATGCTACATCTTGTACCCTGAAATGCCATGTGTAGAGAGCCAAGCAGAGTAAATTTAGGCTCATCACTGAGGTTAAGAATTATTTAAGAATTTAATGCTTGTATATGTAACATACTCAAAACTTTCTATATAGCAATTCCTAGATTATAACAATGTATTCCACTGAGAAGCTGAGTCTTCTTTGTTGGCAGTATAAAATTTTGACCATATCAAAATTCTGGTAAAACACACACTGAAGGCATTGTCTAGTGTATGTAATGTTTGGGGGCATTAATGAATGTAGGAGAAATTCTTAGATTTCACACTAAATTTCAGCTGAGCTTTGTCAAACCAAACAGCTCAACTGTAAGGCAAGAAAAATTAACCCTCTGTGAGAGATTAGTGGGCCTTACCAAATAAAGATAAGAATTCAGTCTTAGGGAAAGACTCCCTACATAAGCAGATATGAAACAGTGGGCACTTGAAACGAACTTCTAGAAATGACCTAACATCTTGACATTCAGACACTGGTTCAGAAGCAACAATCTGTTGGTATATTTTATCTAATTAACATTTTACAATCAGCACCAGTCCCCAAAACCTCAAATTATAATATTTAATCTTCATTAAAATACATCCTTTTGTGCTATATTAATATAATCAAATTAATGAAAGTTGAACTTACTCAACTTACTATATATTTTTGTGTATGCAGGGTAACAAATCTTTTTATTTACTTGTGCTTCTGTTTTGGGGTACTTTGATTGAAGAGAAATTCATTTCACAGGATTACATCTTGCTAAAGCATTCCTTAGCATTGGTCCAAACTTGAATTCCCTTTTAAAACAAACCAAAAAAAAAAAAAAAAAAGGCCCCAAAACCTTAAAATGTAATTTTGGAAGGATTTTGAAAGGCCAAGTACTTGGCTTACTGGTATGTTAGGTTTCAACTTTTGGAATAATTAGTAAGTACAACAAACAGAACACTTTTTCTGGCAATGGCAAATATAAGTCAAAGTGAAATACTTGTGAAAAAAGTAATAGAATCATTGTATGAGCCTGTTTTCAAAACAGATACAGAACTCCTACTTCTTTTTGAAAGACTCATTTACTCATATCATATATTCATATCATTTCTACTTATAAAACAAACAAGTTTTGCAATATCTAAAACAAAAAACCTGATTAGTCTAACAATTAAATATTATTAATTTATTAACCTAATAACCAATATTTTGATAAAAAGTTATGAACTCCCTCTCAGTGGTTACAGCAGGCTATTTAGCAAAAACTAACATGCTATTATATACCTAATAGGCTTAAACAAAAATGCATGTTTGTAAAAAATGTAATAGTAAAATCTAGACAGTGGTGGAAGGTATGTTTTCAACAAACAAGATATATATATATCCTGTTTATATATATATATTCTTCAATAACTGCTAATTTATCAAGAAATTTTAATACTTACACATTAAAGTTAATCAATATTTATTGAGGCTTTGAACAATAGGAAAAAAATTAATCTTTTTAGCTTTTTTTCCTCCCTGATGAAACACAAAAAGAAAAACAAAACAAAACCACACAAGAATCCTTTAATGTCCCAGACTGACTTACTAAATGATTTACTGAGATAAAGCATGCTGAATCACTCAATAAATTAAGAAGCACTAGAGAAATGTAAAGCACCAGTACTGACTGGTGATCACACAGGCAGCTCTGGGGTTCTGAAAATGAGGTTAAGGAATATTATACATTTTGTTCTTACAACATCATTTTAAAAAATTTCCATCACTGCCAAAACACTTATTTTAACCAGAATAAGCTTCAGTGTTCATACCTTATACGAGAGGTATCAGTGACATGTGTATTAATACACGCTTTCATGTGTATCTTTTCAAACTCATTTGTATAACATACAATCATTTAAAAAATACACACTTTCCTCTTTCCCACAAAAACAGGATTGCATTATATGCACTAGTGTGTAGCCTGTTTTCTCATCTGCCGTTCTATTAGGACATCTCATTAGGACAGTACATGTGAGATCCATCTTATTAGGACAGTGCATGTGAGATCTATCTTGCCTTTTCTAACACTGAATACTCCATTAGATACTACTCTATCTAAACCCTAACGTTTAGACCATTTTTCAATGAAAGTATGTATCGCTGTTAGGAATGGTATTTTACTGCCCTGTTCAAGAATATCACATAACCATAGTAATGTTTTTAGTACATATTTTCAAATACAAGTAAAAACAGGGCATACAAATTTGGAACTTTAGATGAGTGGAGACTTGGTAATTAAGATTTTAATTATGACACTTCTTTCAAAATTAAGTAGAGAAACTGGGAAACATTCTGGAAGAGAAGAATGGACTTTAAAAATAAAAATGATATACACTTTGTTCCAAATAAGAAACTGATTTTAAAGAAATTTGGCAGCACTTCTGAATATACTCGTACCTTCAATGAAACCAAAACCTACCTTTTTGCACATACTGATCTGCATGACTGCGTAGCTGATGAGGGCCTCCTTTAAATCATGGTTCTTTTGTTCTTTGAAGCGTTCAATATCAGCCCAAGCATTTTTGACAAACTCTCTGAAATAAAGGGTATAGTCATCATTATTATTCTTATTTAAATTAAATAAACTACATATTATTAATTCAAATAAACACTTCTCATCTGAGTTGGGTTTTTGTCTATAAAGTGAGAGAAAAAGCAGACAGTCATACACTCTTCTACATTTTAATAGTCTCTTTTACCATGAATTCCAGCTTCAAATTATTCCTGTAAAACAGATGTAAATGGCTCCTTGAACCAACTTACAAGCCAACAGATGCCGCATGAACTTACCTGCCTGGAGTCACTGCAAAACATACAGTCTTTTCAACAAGATGGATTATGTATCACATTTATCATGTATTTTCTTTAAATGACAACTAGAGTTTTAAAAGTTCTGAGAGCCATTTGTCTTTTTTTTTAAACATGTGATCCATTTGTCTTTTTAACTCTGTTCATGAGTTAACTTTGACTTACTTGACACCAGCAGTTTCAAAAATTAACAAAACCACCTCCAAATCAGTGAAACTCTTAGTCTGCCTTGATCTACTCAACAACTGTCAAAACTGACAAAAACAACATGAAAAATGCGCCCAAAAGTCCATGGCAGATCTCTGAGAAGTGAATTTCTGAAAATATTTATGGAATAATTATATTCTAAGTCATATGCAAGGTGCTGGGACATAAAGATGAAGAAGACACAATCACTGTGTCTTTGAAGGGCTTGTAATTTAGCCAGAGACAGTCACACTGTACAAAGTGCCGTGGGATAAGGGCATTAACCAAGTGCTGTGACAGCCTGTGAGGATAAGAGAAGGCTTAACAAAGGAAGCAGTTCAAGAGCTGGGCATTGCAGAATGATGAGGCTTTTAACTGACAGAATAGAGTAGAGGAAATATGCAAAGGATAGAAATCATGTAAAGTGCAAGAAAATAATATTATGAAGTTTAAACACTTCCTTCTTCCCCTTTCCCCAACACTAACACAACTGTTTCTGTGTAACATGATTTTTGATTACTCAAATTTCTCAGGAATAGTCAATCACTGTATTTTAGAAGATTGAGGCTACATCCAGGGACTGATGAAGCTAGGAATCGTTATAAGCCACCTGCCACAGAGCCTAAAGTCTAGCCATGTTAAACATCCCAGCATTTTTACCTGCCTTCCAGATTTTTAGACTTAAGTTGTTGTTCTCCTTCCTTTATTTGTTCTTCTAGCATCTTTATTCTGGCTTCTCTCTGCTCTGGAGTTTCTTGACCGAAGAGCTGGGTAGTCACTCCCTTCAAAGAAAATGTTCTCACAGTCTAAAATGAAACAGAAACAGATGAATGGATAAATAACATCCATACACTGAAATATTTTTCAGTCTTAAAAAGGAAGAAAATTCTGACACACGCTACAATATGGATGAACCTTGAGGACACTGTGCTAAGTAAAATAAGCCAGTCACAAAAAGACAAATACAGTACAAGTCTACTTACATGAAGTATCCATAGTAGTATAACTTACAGAGACAGAAAGTGGAATGGTGACTGCCAAGGGCAAGGTGACGAGGGAAATTAATAGTTGATATTTAATAAGTACAGAGTTTCAATTTTGCGAGATGAAGAGTTCTGCAGGTTTGCTGTACAACAATGTAAATGAACTTACTACTACTGAACTTGAAAAATGGTTAAAATAATAAATGCTATGTTCTGTATATTTTACCACAAATTTTTTTTAAAGAGGACATAGTCATTTTCCCCCTACCTCAGACAGAACACCACAAACCATACAACCAAGGGGCTACTATTAAGGCTTATAATACTAGAAAATGTTGAAGAATCAAAAAAGGAAAAATTTTAACTGAGCTTCTTCATCATATAGAAAACTTCCAGGTGAAATACTAGGCAAGTTATTTATGTCAGCAGTCATATTTTTTCAATTATTCTGTGATCATAAAAAATGGATAAAATTCAACAGGCAACAACGAAAATAAACCAAACTGAAAAAACCATTTAAAATCTGCATAATTCACACTAAAACTTGGTTATCTATTAATAAAACAGAATGACTAAACCCAAGCCTCAAACGTCACCATCTCTTCACTCTCTGGAATTTACTGAAGGAAACGCTTTTCCCTGCAAATGCAGGAGTAGAGAGCCAAGCTCCCTGAAAATGGACTGGAAATTTCCCCTGGATTTTAAAAATAAATCAAGCCAGTGTGTATCTGCTTCATGGTCAAAGGTCCTTCCCCATGTATCTTCATGTGGGTAGCCCACAAGCACTTGTAAAAGTAAAGTGAAGTTGCTCAGTCGTATCTGACTCTTGGCGACCCCATGGACTGTAGCCTACCAGGCTTCTCCATCCATGGGATTTTCCAGGCAAGAATACTGGAGTGGGTTACCATTTCCTTCTCCAGGAGATCTTCCCACCCCAGGGTTTGAACCCGGGTCTCCCACACTGTAGGGAGATGCTTTACCGTTTGAGCCAGCAGGGAAGTCAAGGACTTGTTAACTATGAAATGACTTATAAACAGTGGCACTGTCACTGCTTCATTACTTCCAGATTGTGTGCTCTCACCATGACAGCTTATTTATTCCAATGAAATAGCTGGACAATAGAAAGCTGATTATAAAAATTATCTAAGTCTAATATAGTCAGATACAAAATTTTCTTCACAAGTACTCACTGTAAGGATTCAAGAATAAAGTACACAAAAAGTTCTCTGTTAGGAGAGAGGCACTGATTCTAACAGGGCAAAGTTTTTCAAAGTTAACTAAAATTTCTACAATGTAAGTGATAAAATTAAACCATGCAAAGGTCATTATTTCAATCCCAAAGAATAATGGTTTTTTCCACTTAGACTTAATCAGAAAAGAGATGGTCCTTATTACACAGTGCAATCTGGCAAAATTTCTTGTAACGCTATATATGTTTTAATGGTTGCTTTTTTTTAAGACTTAATTTTTTAAATTTAATTTTACTTTTTGGCCACCACAACGCAGCATGTGGGACCTTAGTTCCCTGACCATGGATTGAACTCGTGCTCCCTGCAATGAAAGCACGTAGTCTTAACCACTGGACCATCAGGGAAGTCCCTAATGGCTTATATCTTTTTATGTTAAGATCACAACCAAAAGAATTATAAAGTTGTCCACAAATTACTCCCCTTTAAAAGCTACAGGCATCCTGCAGCCCATTTCACTTAAGGTTCGTTATAATAATACCACAGACCCAAATGGAAAATAGCTCACCCCCAGTTGCCAGTTCCTCACACTGCTGCTTCTTGGATGCTAGGTCCTGAGCAGCCATCTCTAAGTCATACTGCATAAGTTCATGTTTCCTGCACACAGCCCTAGGAAAAAAATTTAATTTTTGCCATTTAATTTTTGTGGCCTCTCTAATTATTAACATGTTAAATTTTTCCCCAGGGAGTAAAGTGGAGGCATTCACGTACTATGATCAGAAGTTTTATATATAGAATTTTTAAGCTTAAAATGTAGTAGCCCAACATTAAAATGTAGTAGCCCAGATGGAAAACAACCTTTTTTGATTTATAAAGTTTTTATGCTTAGATTCTGCTAAATTAAATTTTTATCACATACATTTTTTAAAAAAGCTTTTTTTGTACAGCACTGGAACTAATGCTATCATCTCACATAACAACTGAATATTGTTTAAAAAGATTATCTCAAAGTTTTCTATTGAGAAATGTCTATTAGTTTTCATTATCATAAAAGTAATCCATGCTCACTAAAAAAAAAAAAAAAAGATTCTAATACAGGAATGTACTAAATAAGTTTCAAGAACACTTTCTTCTCCCTAGTTCTACTATCCAGACACAATTCATATTAATAGGTGGTATATATTGTTCTAGACTTTAACTAGGCATTTCTGAACTATATACCAAGGACACATTTCTTTATCAATATACATTCATCTTTTCTATAATCTTTAAGAGTTGCAAAGAATTCCATTGTGTTGAGCAACCTTCCTTTGGTAAAAGCCTGGTGTGACCTCTACTACTCAAAGCTCTAGAAGGAAAAAGGCTAACAATGTGATGTTTTCATCCCAGCTACTGAACAGCCAAAGGAATATTGTTCTTCTGTTTTATTAACAGAATTCTTACAATGATTTTAAAAGTGGCAGGAAAATGATTCACTTTTCTAAACTGGAATATCTCCCAGAGAATTCTGTTTGGCCCTGTAGGAGATACCACAAACACAGAAGACAAAGTCCTGACGTTAAGAAATTTTACAATCTTACTAAGGAGATAAAATATGCAGGTATGGAAACATCACAGAATTTAAAGGTAATATACAATCTAATGACAGATCATGATAACACACACTCAATGTGTACTTTGCTTCCAATCTCCAAGCTGGAAAAAGCAGAAAGAACAACATACAGACAGCCCTGAAGTCAGAGACTAACAGGTTTTATCAATATAATGTTTCAAATATAGTGACAGTGTTAAGTCGCTTAGTCATGTCCAACTCTTTGTGACCCCATGGACTGTAGCCCTCCAGGCTCCTCTGTCCATGGGATTCTCCAGGGAAGAATACTGGTAGGTTGCCATTTCCTTCTCCAGGGTATCTTTCCAACCCAGAGATCGAACTAAGGTCTCCTGCATTGCAGGCAGACACTTTATCATCTGACCACCAGGGATCAGGGTTGTCTTAAATTCCTACATATACACCATGGAATATTACTCAGCCGTTAAAAAGAATTCATTTGAATCAGTTCCAATGAGATGGATGAAACTGGAGCCCATTATACAGAGTGAAGTAAGCCAGAAAGATAAAGAACATTACAGCATACTAACACATATATATGGAATTTAGAAAGATGGTAATGATAATCCTATATGCAAAACAGAAAAAGAGACATAGATGTACAGAACAGACTTTTGGACTCTGTGGGAGAAGGCGAGGGTGGGATGTTTCGAAAGAACAGCATGTGTATTATCTATAGTGAAACAGGTCACCAGCCCAGGTTGGATGCATGAGTCAAGTGCTCGGGCCTGGTGCACTGGGAAGACCCAGAGGAATTGGGTGGAGAGGGCCGTGGGAGGGGGGATCGGGATGGGGAATACATGTAACTCCATGGCTGATTCATGTCAATGTATGACAAAACCCACTGAAATGTTGTGAAGTAATTAGCCTCCAACTAACAAAAATAAATGAAAAAAAAAAAAAATTTCCTATGTCTAGCACTCTGCAACAGATAGGAATACAGTGAGATCTCATTCAATATCTAGGGGAAGGAATTCATTTAAAAATCACCTTATGCTCTTTATTTTAGAGTAACAGATGAAGAGAGTGTTGACCAGCCATAGGACTGCATCTGGAACATGTATTATACTTACCGCAATGCTTCTGCATAAAAAAGATACTCCTTTAACTGATCCGCATAATGTTCTTCATCTTCCAAAATATCATCAATAGAAGATGCATATCTGTTTAAAAAATAATGTATATAGTAACTTTTATCAAGACACAAAATATTAATATTCTAAAGAGGAGCTATTCAAAGCATAGTCCACTGACCATTTGCTACCCATGAATGACCAAAGTACAAAAAATCTGAATAAGCTTTTAGAAACATTTATAGCAACTTTTTAATTGAAGTATACTTGATTTGCAATACTATGTTAGTTTCAGGTATATAGCAAAGTGATTCAATTACATATTTCTTTCTTTCAAATTTTCCATTATAGGTTATTACAAGATATTAAATATAGTGCCCTGTGCTATACAGTATGCCCTTGTTACTTATTTTATGTAGTTTGTGCCTGTTAATCCCACACTCCTAATTTATCCCTCCCCCCAACAGCAATCCTTAATTACCATGACAATTCTACGGAATTTTACCAAAATGTGTTTAGCAAGGGCTTGGTGATAAAGCCCTTGCTTTTTAAAAGAACAAAGCAAACAAAAAAATTGTCCTTCTTAAGGTAGCTTAATGAGCACTGTAGTATCTTTTGTTAAATGTAGTATAAAAAGGGCTACAAAATCTGTAGAAAGAATAAGAATTTAGTATAATTGAAGAATTTAGTATCCCCTGATAGCAACTACATAAAGTCAAAAAGCTACAGAAGGAACAGTTGAGCAAATAAAGATCACAGAAAATTTTAGAAGCGTTATTTTACTCTAATTCTCAGTAGCAACCTCTGCTTTGATCTGGACAAGTCCCTCACTGTTGTGCCATTCTTGTTCTGAGTCTTCCTTTGCACACAACTATAGCGGCTCTCCATACTGCCTTTCCAAATCCTCAACACCTCTAGAAATCTCCCCAGAGATTTCTTGTTCATCACTCTACT